CTCTCTCTCTCTCTCTCTCTCTCTCTCACACACACACACACACACACACACACACACACACACACACAAAATGCCACACCCTGAAGTAGCCATGTAATGACATACTTATCAACAAGGACCGAAGGCCTACAGCCAATAGTTTCACGCATGAGCTTGGAAATAAACCCTTTGTCTCAGTCCAGTCTTAAGAGTTCAGAATCCCTGGGCCAACGGGAAGGCTCAGGGTGTACAGCTCATGACCGGATTCTAATCCTTGGAACCCCACAAGGCAAGAGAAGAGAAGTGACTCTCTTTTAACTTCCAGAAATGGGTCGTGGCATGTGGACACTCACACAGACACATGATGCAGGCACATGTATTCATGCACAAAATAAATAAGTGAAGAAGAGCATTGGGAACGCCTGCATATCATCCTGGGGGCTGGGTACCTCCACATTCTTAGATTCGATGAGGCCTATGAAAGAATGGGCATGGTACGGTGTACTTCCTGGATTTCAGGAATGCTGACTTTACAACTCTAACTGATATCTAACTGCAACTTTATAAGCATTCCTAAGCCCAAACCGCCCAGCTATGTTCGGTATTGTGGAAGACAGTTTTAAGAATTTGGGGGTGATGCCTAATACAACTGAACCTCTTACGTTCACTGTCAGATGAATTTCCACACTTTAGGCCAGACTTCATCAGTACCAGAGGTACAACCATCAGCCATGAGCAACCGGAGTTTATCTGGGGCAAAGTACAGTCCAACGTCCCTTTGGGGGGTTTGAGACTTGTGTCTACAAGGAACCAACCACACTGTCCACTTGCTGGATGGCTCAGACTCCCTGGTAATGGCAGGCTATCTGCCTTCTCTCTGTGTCAGCACTGAGAATTTTACACTCGGGGTTCATTGATTTCCACATCTTTTGATGTAAGGATTAAGAAAAACAATTTAACATTTGAAAAGAAAGAAGGAGAAAAGAGTTTTTGAACAATGTCTGATGTACAGGAAGTGCTAAATGAATGTCTGCTATTATTGGCATTTTCATCATTGGTACATCTTTCTTTTATATTCTTTCGCCTGAACTCACAGGTCTGCTGCCTTTGAACAACACATACACATGTACCACCACATGGCATTCTTTATGCCCAAAAACAACAGTCTTGATCATAATTATGAGATTCTAGCTGCCACCATTTTGAAATCCTAAGTTCGGTTGAACTGAATTTATCCTGTGGGTTGATGTACAAAGATTCCAGGTCCCAAACAATTTCAGTTTTCGAGCCTAATGTCCAAGCTGGCCTCATTCCAATCAGGTTTAAATTCTAATTGTTTCTACCAAACTTTTATATCATCCAGAACTCTCAAGATAATCTTGAAATTGTCTGAAACTATATTGACATTTTTGAGGGCTTGGATGCCAGTAAGAAGGTACCTGCTGTTGTCTAGGAAGATGCACAACTGTCTGCAAGAAATGCATCTCATTTGCCCCTTTCCTTGAATCTGCAACAAAACAACTTATAAAGGATCAGGGTCTATTAATAAAAACCCTCTGGTAAATATTGTTCAAAGCTCCGAGAGTCATGAAGTGCATGAACATAGATAGATAGGGCTGTGGTAGTATGACACCTTTTTTTCCCAGAATGCTAGGGCTGAAACCTTTTTATCTCAAGACTACTCCATTCTCCCAGTGACAATAGTATCATGTTTAAGCAGTTTCCACTCAGAGCATTTTATGCTATGATTTAAAAAAAAAAATGCACCTTCCTTTGTATAATCAGATGATGAGGTACCGCTGCCCTGTTTTCCCCTACAGCCTAATTGAGGTGCTTTTTATATTTTGGCTTGAGGCTTCTCCCCCATCTCTTTCTCTTAGGCATCATCTCCTCTACTTCACTCTTGAAGACCTCCTTTCACTGTGTGTTTTAACCTATGAGTTGCTTCGGACCTCTCAGAAGTCGGTCAGTGATAAGTCTTAAATAAATAAAAATAATGTGTTTCTGAGCAGCTGTACGTGAGTGGAATTTTCAGTAAAACAGCCACCGATTAAGCATCCAAGAGAAAAGCTCCCTTAGGACAGGAAGCCCATGCATCCTCTGGGAACGCAAGCTGGCGAACTCTTCAGCTTCATCGTTTAGAATTCGCATCTCATGTTTTCTTACCACAAGGTACTGTTGGACCAGATGGTGGCCTGGATCACAGACTTGGGGCTCTTTTCAAATACTTGGTAAGATGCGGTGGACCCTCAATGGCCTTTATTAAAGCTAAATAAGTCGTCTCCTTCCTTACCTCTGTCACCCTTGATTCAAGAGTGGGGCCTCTGCACAAGGTTGTTGACGTTCACCTTTCCACGGGCTGTTGGCTCAGGAGTTCCTCCTCCCGGGTTCCTGTGTACCGGAAGTGCATGGCGCAGCTTCAGAAATAGAGAACAAGAGGAAGTGAAAATTTACGTATTCCAAAGGCTCCCCCAAGCAGCTGGAACCATTAGATGTTTGATACTGCAAACTCAGACTGCTAGGCATCTCATTCTCAGGCTTTCCGTTTGTGGAGAAAATAAAGGATGCACTCCCTGGAGGAAGGACTGGCTGTGACTAGTATATATGCCACAGGATATCTCTGCTTTGGGAGTGAAGACAAACAGAAACTCCTTAGACAAAGCTTTGGCCAGGGCTCTGTTCGTTAAATGGCGGATAGAAATGAGATTTGCTGCCTAAAGCTCCATACTAAGATGCTCATGCCTCTGCCTCTTATGCCTCCGAAGCACATAGAGACTGTGGCATACAATCAGACAGCATGAATCCTAGTGAAGACCAGGGAACATGGCACTAAAGTTCTCAACCTGTGGGTCATGACCCTTCCAGAGGGGTTGCTTATCAGATATTAACGTTACAATTCACAACAGTAGCAATGAAAATAATTTTATGGTCCGGGGGAGGGGTCCCCACAGCATGAAGAACTGCATTAAAGAGTCTCACCATTAGGAAGGTTGAGAACCGCCGCTTTATTTATTGAATAAAGGGGGCAAAAAGATGACAAGAGTGGGAAGATGGGAAAGAGTGGCGTGAACTCGGTCTTCTGACATGACATAACCATTGCATTGATAATTCCCAGCCGCTGTGGTTACCTGCACAAGACCCACACAAGATGGGACCCGTCAACACCCCCGAATGGGTGGGGGAAGGCTCACGAGGCCCTACATCGCCCAGAATTGGCAATTAATGGTATTGGGGGTGGGTGAGTCATTTTCTTCAACGCAGTTGCTGCTGCTTAGTTAGCCATGCTCCAGTAAACAACCTCCCATCCATGCTCCTGCAAACAACCCTAATTAAACCCAGCGGGTCACTAAAATCAAAACAAACAAACAAACAAATGACATGGGGGGGGGGAAGGAAGACTTGGAAAGAAGGAGTGGGAAGGGAAGGGAATGAGAAAGGGGAAAGAAAGGTAAAAATGACCGAATTATACTATACGCATGTATTAAATTGTCAAAGAGTAATAAATAATAAATGGATAAGTAGAACAGGAACAATCTGGGTCCCTGTTCTATATAAGAGGCTACTGTTCCGCCTCTGGTCTAATTCTGGGCTTCAGAATGACCATCATGACATGATCCCAGCCTTCAGCCCTGCCAAAAACCCAGAGGGAGTTGACAAACAGTGACATCAATGGACTCCGGAACACAGCGGGGGTCAGGCAAGCTCATTGCCTCTTTATTCTTAAAAACAGCTCAGAAATGTCAGGAGCCATCGGGGCTCAATCCTCTCTCAAAAGACTCCTGAATTTTATCCGTACTGAACAGGCTTCAGTGAGTCAAAGAATCCTCCAAAATGCAATTAAATTCCCCTTCCCAGATCCTCCCCATCATTTGGGTTTTATTTTTATACTCTCCCATAAAGACTGGCCTCTTCTTAAACATTGAAAAGTAAAGTTGAAGCTTGATCATTATAAATAATTCATTAACCAATAACTATGTTCTGGGCAGCGTCCCTCCACCACCACCACGCCCTCCCCCGCGTGGATGCGTCACGGCATCAATGGGGAGAGAAGCTGATCCCAGGAACACACAGACTACGTCTCCTGCCAGTCTGGGAGTCAGAGCCACCCAGGAAAATTGTTAGGGGCTCTGTTTAATTAGCGCCCCTGCCACCTGCAAACAAGTGGTACTAAAAAAGGTGCTGAATTCTTGCCATTAAGAATCCCCCCCCCAAAAAAAGACAGCACCAGTGCCATTCTGAGCTTTAGAATATAATAAATATTTCACTGATTTAGGCAACAGAGGAATTATACTTTCATTTTCACCCCTCCCCCAATAGCTTTTAGCAAATGCGTTATGCTTCAGAAACTGTCTTCAGAATGAGTTCCTTAGTCCAATACTCCAGCCACCCCAGATCTACTAGAACTTGCCCATCCCAAGAAACCATCCTGACCAGCCTTGCTCTTGGGGATATCTGTGACCCCCCCTTCCCATCTGGAGACCCTCCCCCATATATGAACAGTAAGTGATAATATGTGCTAATGCTGTTGTTATTTTAATCCTTGTCAAGAACAATTCAAAAAATGTTACTTAGTTGCCTTAATCCCTGTGCTGTGAATAAGCAGGGTGAAATGATGACTATCAGCTATGGTATGCAGTTAAATAGTCCCCAGCTTAAATGTGACCCATCACAGAGTAAGGTGGTCCCAGGAACACTTCAGCAACTGGGACTTACCTCCTGTCTCCGTCAAGGGTGTGGGGTTAGATTGCAGGACACACAGTAGGTGCTACACAGATTTTTATGGACTGATTTAGCCACTGGAAGAACAGTTGGTTGGGTTGGATTTATTCATGCTTTTGGTGCCAAGTAGGGGTGGTTTTAGTGGAGCACTATATTAGAAAAACAGGTTTGCGATAGAAGCACAAGCTCAGCCAGCAGAGAGCCTGGCAGCTGCTCTGTTTATATCCGCTGTATTGCTGGAGACAGATGTCCTGTCAAACCTGAGGGTTCTGACGAGGCTTCCACTCTTCCAAGGAACCCATGCATTCACTAATCAAAGAGACGCTTGCCCCTCGTCTACATGAGTGCTCTGTAGTGTAAAACTGTTTCTAGTTCTGGGTTCAGAACTGACTATGAGTAAAGGCATAAATCAGCATCCACCGTGTCCACCGCAAGGGGAAGATGCTGGGCTACCCGCAAAAGATGTTGCATTGGTGTTTTCAGTGGAGGGAGAAAACAAAAAGAGTACCTTTGGAAGTGAGCACACTGAAATTCCAGTTCCGTTACCTGCTCGCTGGGTGACTGCAGGAGCTCATCTCATCCTCCCTGGACTTAGGTAGTCAATAATATCAATTCCACAGGTAGCTGTGATGACTGACAAGGTATCATTAATACGAGACACTGGTATGGTGCTCAGCATGCAGTAGCCACTAAGTAAGTGATTACGCTGCTGAGGTTGTTGCTATAGACACAAATAAAGGGAGAAATCCATCCTGGCACAGAAGATATATGTGACTCCCTGGCCATCCTGATGGTGGCTTCCTACAGATAAGAGCAGGGACTTTCCAGTACAAGGCCCTTGTCTGGCTGCAGAAAGAATGCCACACGTTCTGAGGAGGAAATGAATGTTCTGGAGTGTTCCAATGCACTTCCCTGTGTATTATGAGCCCATTCTTTCCTAACCCACCCACTTGATGAATGCATATTAATCCTGATCCTAGAAGCCAACTTGTGACTCAGCACAGGAAAAGGGCTGGCTATGGGAATGCACCCCACAATGGAGAAATCCTCAGCTATGGCCAGAAAGGTCCCCGTGCGCAACCAACAATTCCCAAGTACCGTGCAGAGAGATCCATGCCAAATGCGGAGCTTGTCCCAGGGCACACAAAACAAGGGAGTGAACAACCTGGAAGAGATCAAGACATAAGTGAGAGCTATGAAAGCAGGTGAGAGATCCCTCACACAACATGGACCCAAGGCCCTGGGTGCAGTGGGAATGGGGGAATGAACTACCACGATCCAGATGAAATGGAGCTCATGAGTAGTCCTAGTCTACTGTCTATTGATGTGATAAACACCACAGCCAAAAGCATCTCGGGGAGGAAAGGGTTTATTTCATCTTACAGTCAATCAGGAAGGGGAGTCAGAGCAAGAACTCGAGGCGGGAACCTAGAGGGAGAAACTGAAAAGACCATCTAGGAATGCTGCTTACTGGCTTGTTCAGTCTGCTTTCTTATAGAACCCAGGACCACCTGCCCAAGGATAGCATCACCCACAATGGGCTGGGCCCACCCACATTAATTATTAATCAAGAACATACACCACAGATTTGCCTACCGGCCCATCTCATGAAGGCATTTTCTCAGTTAAGGGTCCCTCTTCCTAAATGACTCTGGCTTGTGTCAAGTTGGAAACACACACACACACACACACACACACACACACACACACACACACACACACACACAACTGATCTCTTGTCAATCTGAAACACAAACACATCACTATTCAACCAATAACGTTTTCTTTGATTTATCCTAAGATCTCCTGCTCATATCATAATGTAAAACTCAGTATAACCATTTTTTTTTTACTTTTCAATATTTTAAAAGTCCAAGTTATCTTTTGAAGTCAGTCCACAGCCTCTCAAGTGTGGATTCCTATAAAACAAACAAACAAACAAAAAACAGCTTTAAATACTTTTTTACGCCAAGAAGAAAGACCAGGGCACAGTAACAATTAAAGCAAAGTCAAACTCCAACACTGTAATAACACAGTGTCTGACATCTTAAACTCACAAACCTTCTGGGCTCCAAACGACTTGGGTAGACCCACCTCTCCAGCTCTGCCACCCACCGCAAACGTAGCTTTTCTCCTAGGCTTTAAGCCAGTCTACTCCTCACGTGCCACTGTCCTTGGTGGTTGACCCGTGGTCCTGGCATCTCGCGTGTATCCTGTATGGGTTTCCACTATAAGTGAGGCTGCACATTGACCAACAGCCTCTCCTGAACTCTCTAGGGTCTCTGACCCTGCCACATGTGACAAGACACAGACCTTCCCACTGGCCAAGTAGGCGGGAGTATTTTCTCACTCCAGGTCCCTTCTTACCAAATGTCTAGCTTGTGTCGAGTCAACAACAACAAGGAAGAACTAAACCTGCACCAGGGCGGACCTTTGTACAAACAGCGAGCGTCAGAACAAACAGCTCATAGCCAGACATAATTCCACAAAAGAAAACGTGCTCTCTCAAGATCTGATTTGCATTTGGGCTCAGATGAAAAGAGGGAAGGGTGAGGGGAGTGGGAACACACCCTCTGTGATTCTAATCCGTACAGCTCACCCACCACCACCACTACCACCACACACACATTTTTGACCCCCTTGTGAACAGTTATCCAGCTTCAAATCTGGAGATTTTTACAACACTCCAGACCCCCCACCCTCGGCATCGCTCAGGTCTGCCTCTCTTCTGTGATATTGCTGAGTATTATAATAATGCTCATGATAATGCTCAGCAAGGCAACTGGGAGAATTCTTCTAGTCTCACCTAAAGAGAGCCCAGGAAGGATTCCTGGAGTGGACTGTTTCTTCATTCACTTGAGGATCGTTCAAAACGATTGGTCAGAAACTACACAGGTCCAAAAATGCCAGATTTTAACCTATTTCAGACCCTACAAACCTTGGCCACATTCAGTAACGCCCACAGCCGCTATACAGGAAAGTGCTCAGAATGCAGCCGGCGGAGTCCTGTATCGCTCACGATTGGTGTGCAGGCACAGATCATCTCAGAGGACGGCTTGCCCACAGAACTGGCATATCCGTGGCTTCGACCTCCTTTGCTTTGCACTGAGTTGCCTGGGATATTGCCTATGCATCTGTTTTAAATCCCAAGGGACCCAGACTCTCTCACCTACTATCTACCCTCTTCCAGGCCCTCATTCACCATTGCACCAACTTAGTATTCCAACCAGACTGACCATTCACCTTCAGGTGTGGTTTGAGGACCTCTAACACCTGTTCCCCCCCCCTCAGCTCCCACCCTATCCCCTTTTGAAGATCCTCTGTCACTGCCTAACTGTCACACTAGCTGTCCTGGAGGTCCTGTCACGGGGGTAGATGGCTCTGGGATGCAGTCATTCTGCACACACACACACACACACACACACACACACACACACACACACACCAGCCTTTCAAACCTTCATACACCAAAACTTCCTCTGATATTTATGCCAGGAAATGCAGTTACTCTAACACCAACACACACACACACACACACCAGCCTTTCAAACCTTCATACACCAAAACTTCCTCTGATATTTATGCCAGGAAATGCAGTTACTCTAACACCAATGGACCATCTCCCTGGTGTCCTTCTTCTTCTTCGCTGACAGTTTTCCTGCTACCCTCAGTAGATGATTGTTATTTATTATTTATCAGCCATGACACTCTACTGTGCTTCCTACAAGATATTAAAGAATACACAACCCCTGCGCTGAGTTATAGCCAAGAGAGCAGAGCTATGGATCTGACATCATAGGAGGCCTCCGAGAGGAAGGACCACAGGCACGCTCTGTCTTCTCTGGTAGACTAGTCAGGAGTGGACCTAAGAACCAGCAGTGCCCCCCCCATTACAGACACCCACCCCCAATTTCTAACCAGACCCTTAGGCCTCCGAGCATTTTCCCGGAAGCGGGGGGGGGGGGGGGGAGAGGGGTGTTATGGATGGAGAGAAATGAAGAGGGGGAACATGAACCACTGACCATAACCTTCAGACTGGCCTGGAGGGTGGAGGGGAGTCACAGGGTTTTCCTCTGAATCTCAAAACAGGTGGGCGGGGGCGGGGTCAGGGGTGGCTGGGAATAAGACACAGACAGACCTGCAGAGTTAGCAAGCCAAGGAAGACAGGCACAGAAAAAAAAGTGTTCTGGCGAGATGGAAAAGCCCACACCGGGTAGCCACAGGTCTCCAGCCCAAGTTTCCTCTTAGTGTTGCAGTTAGGGTCTGCGTACACAGCCTGCAGAGGGGACCTTGGGAGGGCTGGCTGGCTGGCCGGGTGCTGCTGCATCTGGAGTGTCAGAGTAGTCAGACAGGCCTGTGTGGTCTGAACAACCCAGGGAGGTCTGTGGAAACAGCAAAAGTTCTCATAGGTTCAGGAGTCAGGGCAGATGCAAGGAGACCGGATTGGCGTGGCTCGCGGTGGTCCTTCGGAGAGGTGGACATTTCCTGCTCCTTCCCGTGGCCGGAGTGTCCTAGGGAGGGCGGAAGCGGAAAGACGATTGGACTTCTCTTTCTCAAACTTTCCACCAGTTTCCTCAGGTGTTGAGAGCAGGAGGGAAAGCTCCCTTCAGTCCGGATCCCTCAACCCTGAGCTCTCGGAACCCGGAGGCCATGGCCCAGCAGCCCGGCCACGCGCCGTGAGTCTGCCGGGCGCGGCCACGGAGCCCGGCGAGCCGGGAGTCATCGCAGGGGGCGGGGGCGGCGGACCGACGATGGACACACCCGCTG